CGCCAGCATGGACCCTTCAAGGGTAGCTTTTCGCCGAGTGATCGCTCGATCAGGGGCGCTAGGTGCGCTGGTTGATCTGAAGCCGTCTGCCCTGGCTAGCATTTGTCCGGATCTACTACGAACGGGGCTTGGTGACCGGGGACTCAGGCGGTGTCGAGGCTCTGGGAAGGTAGGAGGTGGGAATATGGGTTTTGATATCTCCCCGAATAACGGTTTTCCTCCTCCAGTCTTCAGCTCTGAAGTGCTACCCTTAGTAAACAGGTCACTCATAGGGCTCTTGTCGGGGGCTCCACCAAACGAGCTCTCCGGTGAGGTCTTTAGACTTTGTACACGGTGATCTGCCCCCTCATCTGTAGGGCTTAGATCATGTCCAACATCCTCCCCGCTATCTTCGAAATCGGCATCACCTTCCTCAGATTCCGCGGGAAGCGATACGTCCGTAGCTTCTTTGGGGGCCTCTTCTTTTTTGGGCTTCACAAAGTCAGGTGGGAGGGAGGCATCTTCAATTGATGTACGCGAAACTCCGGATGAAGATGCAGATGTGTCCCCAGGGGCATAGCTAAGCTTGCTTGTGGATTCTGGTGGGAGTGGTGCTTCAACAGCTTTTGCTAACGGCGTCGGAGGAGTCGCCCTGGGGGTCTCCTTTGGTGTCTCCGCTCTAATAGTTGCTGGCGAGTGAATGGGTTCACCTGGAGTAGACGGTGCTTTTTTCACCACAGGGATCATGCTAAAAGAGCCGGTAGGAGTAGTGGATTTGGCGGTTGGTAAAGGTTTTTCCTGCTGTGGTGGTGCATTGAATAGATTCGAAAACAATGGTGCCTTCTGATCTTGAGATTGGGTTTGTTTATGGGACGAGAATATAGAAGCTGGTGGCGCGCTTGTAGGGGTCGAGCTGATAGAAAGCTCCGCTGACTTTGGAGCAGCCAGCTTGGGAATATTGGACTTCATGCCACCAAGCATATCACCGAAAGCAGCACCCATGGACAAAGACCCGCTAGATTGTTCTGGTTTGTCCTCATCCATTGCAGCTGAGGTATCTGGTTTCATTGTAGATCCCACTGTGAAACCACCAGTCCCAAGACCGAAACTAGTGGATGGTTTTTCATTTTTAACTTGCTGTCCGAAAGGAGAAGTTGTCGTAGTTGGTGCGTTGGGCTCCCCAAACAACGGCTGACCAGCCTTTGCAAAGGGGTTGTCATTGGAAGAAGTTTTTGCAAAAGGACTCTCTGTAGAGGCCGGCTGTCCAAATGGACTCTCTGTTAGAGTTTGCTTCCCAAATGGACTGGCACCAGGGGCAGCTGTTTGGGCAGCACTGGCAAAGCCGCCACCAGAAGAGGCAAATGAGCCGAATCCTCCCCCAGCACCAATGTTAGCAAAACCAGATCCAGTTGTTAGGCCACCACTTCCTATAGAAGGTTGTCCAAAGAGTGATCTCCCAGCCCCCAATGCCCCTGTTTGGCCGAAAGCAGGGCTATTACTTCCGAGATTGCCTGGGCTACCAAATGAGATCCCTCCACTTGCTTGTGGTGTAGTTGAGCCAAATCCAGGCGTGGTACTAGAGCCACCTGGAGTTTGAGAAAATGACCCTAAAGGAGAAGGCGAACCAAACGCAGGCTTGCTTTGCATGCCTAAAGCTGAGCTCATGCCGAAGCTTGGTGTGGCTGGCTTACCGAACGTGGGCTGGCCAAAGCCGGCTTGTCCAAATGGAGATTTAGCTGGGGTAGTTGTCGTCACCGCTGGCTGGGCAGAGGTAATCTGGGGTTGGCTTTGCTGTCCTTTGGAGTTCACTGCGACTAAGCCACTGTATGGTTTTTGCTGTTTAATTGACTCGGTATGTACAAACCACCAAGAGGACAGCATTCCATCGTTGGTAAGCACCAAAAGTGCAGGAAGCGGGGACGAAGATTCTTTAATTTCCTCATCTCCAGGGATGGGGGATATGACACTATCTCTGCTCGAAAGGTCCAGGCACATTCCAATGGGGGATGTATCGTTCATATCTTCCGTCATAGGAAGCACTGCTCTCCGGGAATCATCAGCCATAGTAAGAGTTGCGAATGTGGGTGTGCCATCTGCAGTGGATTGTGTGATCAATCCAATATCAGTTGAAGCAGTAGATGCAATGATTAAGGCTTCCTTCAGGTGTGGCTCAAAATCTCTCATACGGGCTGTGAACTGGTATGCAGGGTGCCTTGCCAATCCGAACGGAGCACTAACTTCAGGCAACTTTCTGAACTCATACTGGTCTGGGGGCTTTCTTGTGGCTATAAAATAATTAGACGCCGGCGGCGGGCCATCAGGCGTATTTGTTGGAGTATAAACAACAAAAAATACGTGGTTTGCCAGCCACAAGATAGTAGATACTAAAGGTGGGTTAGTTTGCAACCCTCTATTCAATCAGTCCAACAGTGCAACAACTTACCATGATGATCACTCCCAATCTCCGGAGCTCTGGGTATATCCGCCTGCTTTTCCCCATCTGGTTTTACCTGATATGCATTCCCATCTCCCAAGCCAGCTACCAGCTGAGTACCTTTATTACTCCAGCAGACAGAGCTGACACCGGATTTCAACACAGGTCCTGCTGAGCCTGAAACGAGTTGATTCGTTTTCAAATTGGCGATCAACAGTTCGCCGTTGGTTGTAACAGCTGCAAATAACTCAGACGTATCCGGATTCGGGTTGGCGGCCAGAGCTCGCAGTGTTGCACCGTTTATATTGAAAGTAGCTGTTGGTTGGGTCCTTCCCTGTAGTAGTCCCGAGACATCATATATAGCCAATGCATCGCCGCCATCAACTGCCACCACCAAGGCGCTGCCATCTGCAGAAAATGCGAGATGAGAAACCCTCTTTGGAAGTGGTATCTGAAGCTCTGGTTGGAAAGTCCTGACATCACTACCATCCACAGGCTCGCTCGCATACGCCTTCCTAACAGAATCAGTGCGCGCAATCGTTATTCCTTCCGGACCTGCAGCCGCAAGCAGCCCTTTTATCGACGTGACGCTCAATAATGAAGCGGTAGGCGCGGGTAATGAGTCTTCTGGCCAGGGAGTAGGAAGCAGTTTAACTTTTGCATTGTGTCCAATAGACAGAAACCCGATTTGCTATACACATCTTTGCGTTAGCCGCTATGTGCTCCAACATATAGCCCTGGCTATGTAATAAGAATGCATACCTGAGTTTCGATTTCCTGAAGCTCAGCTCCCGTGGTCACTTTTCCACCAGCAGCTTGGGACGAGCCTGAACCAAACGAAAAGGCCATCCTGAAGGACGATTCAAAATCTGCCGAAAGAGACCTCGGTCCACTATCTAGAGACAGACGCGACTTGGGGACATTGAGCTTTAGCGGAGGCGGGCTTGAGGTAGCTAAGGAGCGGCGCAGGACGACACGAGGTCCCCGGTTGAAAAGCTTGAGGGTAGGCCCGAAAATTTTGACCGTTGCTCCCTAGCAGAAGCAAAACACAGCCGTCACAGGTGAGCAGCCGTCTCCAGCTGGCTCTGTCTTCCGTGAACAAGTGACAATAGAAAAGCGTTAAACACCGTTGTAGTTGATGAAGTTGAAGTTGACGCTGAGATTGTTTTTTTGATATTTCCCTTTTAGGCGTTGGAGACGGCGGTGAACTCTGATTGGTCAGAAGCTTTCCAGGCAGCTTTCGAGCTTACAACAACAACGAAGAGCGAACATCAAGCATCGTCACATCCAACAGACATAACGAAAAAAAAAAAGAGAGAAAGAAAGAAAGGAAGGAATAAGCCAGAAACGAAGAGGAAGACGACGCTGATTCAGGTTGAGACGCCGCCGCAACAGCTACCGGAAACGCTCGCAAACGACTAGAGGAACGCTGCAGTCATGCCTGGCTTTGACTTCTCCAACTACAACCGCAACCGCGCACTCCACGCAAAGGGTGTACCGCTACCCAAGGCGACGAGCACTGGTACAACCATCGTGGGATGCATATTTGACGGAGGAGTAGTGGTGCGTTATCTAAGGCGATTGTGTGGCTTCCTCGCTCGGTATATAACTAATGCTTATCACAGATTGCTGCTGATACCAGAGCTACCAGTGGACCTATTGTTGCAGACAAGGTACTTGATAGTGTTCTATCTCATCCATCCGAGCTCTATCTAACGCCTGTTCACATGTAGAACTGCGAGAAAATCCATTATATAGCGCCGTCGATATGGTGTGCCGGAGCCGGTACTGCAGCAGATACCGAATTCACCACGAACCTGATCAGCTCCAACATTGAACTCCATTCTCTCTCAACCGGCAGAGCACCTCGTGTAGCGACATGCATGACCATGCTTAAACAGCACCTTTTCCGCTATCAAGGCCACATAGGCGCGTACCTAGTGGTGGCTGGTGTTGACCCGACTGGAACACACCTCTTCACTGTACATGCTCATGGCTCGACCGATAAGCTCCCATATGTGACCATGGGCTCCGGTTCTCTCGCCGCCATGTCTGTCTTCGAGTCGATGTGGAAACCATCATTGACAAAGGACGAAGCCATCAAACTTGCATCTGAGGCTATTCAGGCTGGTATTTGGAACGATCTGGGTTCCGGAAGCAACGTTGATGTCTGTGTGATGGAGAAAGACAAGCCAACCAAAGTGATGAGGAACTACCTTACGCCTAATGAGCGAGGAGAGAAGGAGAGAAGCTATAAGTTCCAGAGGGGAACAACGGCGTGGTTAGATGAGCAGGTCATTACAAAGGCTGACCTAGCTCGATATGTCACCATCGAAGAACTCGGTGGAGAGGAAGCTGTAGCAGAGCGGATGGATGTTGACGTCTAAATAGACTAGAGTTTCTGCTCCTTTGACTCCGCCAATTCGATATCCCATTTCATGGCTTGTCTTCTCGTAAATTAAGCATAGACTTGCGTATTGAAATCAGGCATTCAGGCCAATTAAACCCAGTCATATGTATAATTCTATGGCTATATCTACATATATACACACACCTGATCAGATCGTACAAAATATCAAACTGCCATTCAATAGGCTTTCAAACCACCGACTTGAGGCCCTTCTACTTCCCTTAATATGTCCATTATATATTTCCGTCTCTCATGAGGCACCCTGCTCCCAGAGTCAATGTATCGTTGTATGCCAGCATGATACAAGGCCCGGCACATGGCAGGCAATATCGGTGCATTCTGCGTTCGAAGAAGCTTGCAGCACCGATATGTTAACCTCCATGCAACCCGATTAGAAACAGGCACAGTAGAGAAAACCAATGCAAGGAAAGTTATCGTGTTAAGACATGCTTGTGGGTCAAGGATAGGTATTCCCTCGGGTAAATACTTGGTAGGGTTTACTGCCACTCCTTTACCAGGTGGTGAGTATCGTAGCTTTTGTAAAGCGTATCTCAGCGGCTTGTGGTTCTCAATGAGTCCAAGGAGGACCCCTCGGGAGTGTATGACGTTGTTTTCCGTATATAGCAGTAAACGATGGAGAAAGTGTGGGTCGGTTATATCTGTCTCCAGCGCTGCTTGTTCAAATAATGCATTGCCGAGGTTATTGAGCGATGTTCCTTTCTCGTACATCCACATAAGTTCTGGTTTGTGCAAAACACCACAGTCAAGGCTGTTTATTGCTGATATCATCGACTGCGGTAAAGGTCCGGTAAGCCCCATTCGTTGCATATATTTTGATCTGACCGCCGTCACAAGAACGTGATCCGTGTAAGGGAGACCTAGTTTGTCGAAACGCAAAATAAGAGACTGGACTTTCGCTAGCATACCACCCCTTTCATGTAATCCAGAAGCTTGTTTCAAGTAGAGGAGGTATTTAGCGAACAGATCCATTCGGCGACTGTCAATATCGAAATACATCTTTGTGCGGCGGCCAATAATTCGTAGTAACCACATCCGCACAAAACAAACTTCCTCGGCAGTAAGGGCTTTACCCAGCTGGTTTTTGTCCGGGCATGAAACTTGAAACTCCATCCATATCTCCGAAGAAAGCATGCCACGAAGTCCAACCAGGCGCTGCAGCATCCATGACCAAACTAGCAGCATCTGAGGGCGGTTGGTATCATAATTGGGTGAGCATATCAAAGCTTCCGTAGTGCCGAATATGCTGGAAAGGGCGAATGTACTGGGGAAGTATCGTAACGTATTTGACATCTCCTGTAGGCGATATTGCAGGCTTTTCCTATCCATCCAATCATCTTTTCTTGGCATAGCCGGTTTCTCAGTAGAAAATTCAAGGGTATGTAGCAGAACCTTGGACATGGCCTTCTGCTCTAAGTGCCCCATCTTCCTCAAGGTATGAAGAATATGGTTGCATAAAGCGATCGATTTAGTTCCCGGCGGTAAATTTAGCAATATGTCCAGCCACAGGTTAAGAGTGGAAGGGCCAAGGTCACTGGCCCTTAGCACAGCGCATTCTCGCAAGCCCGTCCAAAGTTCCGTGTAGAAAGAAACCAGAAGGTCTGGGTGCGAGTGTGCAAAAGAACCCTCACTGCTATTAAGATTTGGCAGCTTAACAATTATATTCTCAATTTCATTGAGAGGTATTGCTCCAAGGGTCAAACCCGCCGCCAGCTGATCGAGGTGCTCAATTATGACTGGCAAAGAAAACCTCTGCAGACTCAAGTATTCCATCAAAGTCGCATAATTGTTCGAGCCCGGAGCATTTAACGATGGATCCAAAAGGAAATCGTGCAAATCAGTAACCATCCATCTTTTTATTTTCTGAGTTTGAAGTATATGGTTGAATATCATTTTGCTGAGCGTTGGCTGGACGCGAAGATTTATATCGACATCCCTGATCACACGACGAACCGAGTGTAGTGAAATTTTATCGTCACAGAAAAGGCATTCTAGGACAGCAGGAATGGCCTTTTCTTTCCTCAATCTTGGTGGTTTTGGTGGTGATGGAGGAGGAAGATGAGTATTTGAATTTCGTATACTAAACACTGGGACGGCCGAACTATTGCAGGCTTCTGGGGTGGGTGGATCGTTGTCTATATTATCAATTGCGGTTAGATGATAGGACAGACAGAGCAGTGTAAACATATCAATGTCAGCATAGAGAATTAAATGGTACTAACAAGCAGGCGTTTGGAATAATGGCGAGGGGGCAATGGAAGCTTCTCCTCGGGGTCGTCTTTCGGTACCTGAAAAGCCGAACAAAAGTGCAGCATCTAGCCCAGCAGAAGAGCCAATTCCACTGGCTAAGTCCATATTGCGACGTCTAGCAAGACGCCTCCTAGCCTCGAAAGGCCCTGGTACACTGCTTCCATAACGTCGCTGGTGCCGCCGGGCAAAGCTTGCAAAAGTCGAGGCAACAAGCTCGTCACTGACCCAAACATGGTCGATTGCGGGATTCCCATACTTCCGGGCCGCCGTTCGGCAGGCATGTCTACAAAAAGACATCCAGCAGCGGCCCAATGCCTATATTCCCAACAGCTTCAATGTCGCGTTGCTGTCCAATTTCAAGCTCTCTGTCTTCGCGTTCAGCTTCACTACCATGGTCGTTTTTTGTCGTCTTCTCTCGAATTTGACAGTACAATGGCTATTACTAATCCAGATGACTAATTTAGTCACGTGTACGCCGTACGACGAACCAAATCTCCGTTTTGAGTTCCCAAAAGGGTAAACAGGACAATTTCGACTTCGACTTCGACTTCAACTTCGACTTCATCGTTTTGACACGTAACTCAACGATCGCATAGGTCGGACAAATTGGCAGTCTTGGGTATCTGTACTCCTTACGTGAAAAGCTAATCCTTGACACACAATACTTTCAGAGGGATGGTTTTGCTGGGGGTGCTCCTTAACTAGTAAGTAGTTATCTATCGTAACTTATCTCTATGTAGCTCTAACTATCTCACTAACATCACTCTGCATAGGCCACCCACCCCATTTGTTTCAAGTTCAGGGACAATACATGTTTAGAGACATGCAATGATCACACGAGCCGTGGGCAAATGGAATATAATCCACAAAATTTAGCCCTTCCACCGACATCTTCCATCATTCCCTAGGATTTGTGCGGGTATTTCCCCTCCTCTGCTCTGCCGTCTCCTCTTATTTGATTCAAGAATATTCTTTTTTCCTGCTTAACGTGCATACAGAGATCCCGCGTGGCTTATACGCTAAAGCGTGACTATGGGACAGGAAATTTGGTGGTGCAAGAGGTACGTGCAAAACCTCTGATCAGTTTCCGGATTCTCTAGACCCCATGAGTGTCTTTCCAATCAACTGAACTCGACATCTAGTTAACTGAGTTCCTCAGGGTGCCATGCCACAACATAATCAGAGGCCACTGGGAGCAATTTGGTTGCAGATAATTAGTATATATGCAACCGTAGATCTTCACCGCCGGCCCATCTATACATATTAGGTATAATGATCCTGGGACCAGGCTAGTCGTCAGGGCATATTTATATCTCCGAGAAAGAGACGACAGCTCTCTAAACCCAGGGTGGAATTTGTCAATTGCCCAGTTATCCCGCGTTGGTCAAGTTCTAGGCGGTGCCATGTGACAACTCACCCATCGATACGACCTCTGGGCGCTGGCGTGCAACTCTAACTATAGCTGACGTATTATCGTAACGAAGAGGCAGGGCTCAGTCGATCGTCTCGAGACAGGTCTCATTCGACGACCGTCTGCAGTCGAAACTCCAGTGTTGGCACTGATGCTGCACTTTCACTGGATGGACTCCAAGCCACCGTGGACATGGGCCATCCGTTTTGCAAACTTTCCAGTTCCATGGGTTTGATATGCGTCGAGGCTCGTCGCAGGGCGCCACTTGTCACTATTCGTCGTTGACAAGAAACGAGTGCTATTTTCATCCCACAAAGCAGAAGAGCAGTCGCCTCCCAACTTTTAAACCAAACGTGGGGTGACGAGACTGATTAACAAGCTTGCTGGAGAATTTTAACTAGCTAACAAGAAGCGAGGGAAAAAATGAAAAAAAAAAAGCCTACTGTGAGGCCCTGGGAACCGTCTTAATGGGTGGCCTATTACCGGGGGCGTGGCTGACCCAAAGGTCTTGCTAGGGTTCAATCACCGTTTCCAACTGTTTGGAGCGGCATGGGGAGATTGCATTAGCGGGCGTTGGACTGCAGAAACCTCCAGTGTCAACATTGTCTATGTGGATTTACGAAGAACCGAGTCCTTTAGTCTTCGCCTCGGGGGATGGCTTTGTTAATCAAACACGGATAGCCAGATTAACAAGGCAAGATAGCATACGATGCACAAGACGTGATGGGCTCATACTAGCCCCAGCACTAACAAACCTTCCTTTCCTCCATCAGCAAAGGCTGCTGCTTGATGCAAACTTTTGCCCAGGTGGCCACGACAGGCAAACATTGCTCGGTCGATCGCTTTTCGGGTCATGAAAATACGTTAAATTACGACTGCTGGTACAACCCGGTATCAGGGCCTTTTCGGGGCCCAACACACAGGTTCAACCTTCATCCCTGGACGTATATTTTCGGTCTGAAAAGAAAAAATCTTTGTATAGGCCTGATAGACCGAAAACAAAGGTTAATTACAAATTAAGCTTCTGGCTCTGCCCATCTTGCGTGGTTGCAGGCCCCCGAGTGTTTGGTAGTTCAGGAAACGAATATAACTCCCTCCACACCCCCATCCACTTCCCTGGATTTTCCAGCCCAAAAAACAAAAAACGAAAAAACATTTGAAGGTGTTCTGTCGCTTCTCGAATCCTTCATAAAGTCATCTCATAGTGCGCCTCTTCCATCAGTTGATACTGGTATCGAATACATGGTATGAAAACTCAAGGGGCTCACGTTGCGCCAAAGAAGCTCGTTCGAATCACCACAATATTGCCATCATGACGACCAATCCCGAGTCAGGTCCTGATGAAATGACCGACCCGCCCGCTGCCACAGATCATGAAGTTCGTGCTATCACGCCTGATGTATGTATTTTCAGCCCGAAAAGCGCATAAGGAAAAGCCAGGTTTAATATTTGCATTGTGGATTCTGACCTGGTTTTCTTCCTAATAGTCCGGCGAGTATGAGAAGGACTATAACCCTGAGTATGTCTAACCCCAACATTGAAGGAGCCACGGTTGAAATATTCGGAGCTGATATGCTTTCACTCAGCAGTTCCATGTCACTCACTTCGAGTATCACCGATTACCCCATGGAAAGTGGTCGGAGATACCATCGATACCATGAAGGAAGTGAGTTCCCATCGCATAATGGATGTCACTTCTTCTTCTTTTTTTTTTTTTTTTTTTTGGCTATCCCGTGGCAGTATTGCAGTCAAGGCTAATAGCAGCTCCATAGCGTACCTCTATCCCAACGATGAAATAGAACTGGACCGATTGGACATGCAATATGAAATAATAAGGATGGTAAATGAAGGACGAATTTTCTTTGCGCCCTTGGATAACCCAGAACGACTGCTTGACATTGGTACCGGATCAGGTATCTGGCCAATTGAAATGGGTAATTCTTCCACATTTGCATCTATATGATCAACAATCCAAATCGACGCATGCTAAATTACCATTTATGCAGCTGAGATATTCCCCGATGCTCAGATCATCGGAACCGATTTATCTCCTGTCCAGCCGGGACAGGTACCGCCGAATGTTCAATTCTTTGTTGACGATGCCCAAGAGGAAGACTGGTTATGGCCGAAAGATCATTTTGATTATATCCGCTCGTCAATGCTTCTCGGAGCCCTCAATTCCTATAAGTCTCTCATAAACACCGCTCGCACATACTTAAAACCAGGCGGGTACATGGAGTGCCACGAATGGGATGTCGCCCTTTTCTGTGACGATGACACATTACCTGCACCGCAAGATGACTTCCAATGTCCGCATGAATTCCAGAATTGGATCCAATACCTGCGCCTATCCACAAAAAATCTGGATAGACCAGTGTTTATTGTTGACAAAATCGCCGATTGGATGCGGGAGGCCGGCTTCGAAGACGTCAAGGAAACCATTACAAAGATTCCGCTGAACCCTTGGCCCAAAGATCCACATCTAAAGCGTCTCGGTGCCTGGAGCGAGAGAAATTGGCTTGACGGCATTGCGGCATTTTCATATGCGCCTTTTGGAGCCCGCGGTCTCGGATGGACCCAAGAAGAAATAGAGGTCTTCTTGGTTGGTGTGAGGCGAAGCATCTCGGATCGAAAAGTGCATTCCTATCAACGGTTTCATGTTGTGACTGGCAGAAAGCCGTCGTCATGAGAATATCATTAACCACCGTATATTACACAGGGCACAGGGAACCGCAATGCGGAAAGGCTGGCTTTTTGATATCTCGTTCTCTCTTTCTCTATATCTCACCTTTTCCCCCGTCTCGTCAACTTAACACCATGCACACGCACTGGCACACACATACGGATAACTAATTAATGATCGTTACGGCCGGTGGTGGTTAAAAACCCTGAGGTAAAAGTGTTTACTGTTTGCTCTTATCCCTTTTCTGCCGTATATAAATCCTCCCAAATGTGTTGGCGTTCAGCAGCCCTTTCCGTCACTTCCCCTTCTTGAATAATCCCTTTTATCAATGTACATATATACCCTTGTGTCAATTTCTATTAGATCTCCATCTTCACAACTATACCTTCCAAAAACCCGCGTTTCATGCTATAGATTTCCATATCACCATTTCCAGTTTCCGTAATTGGGTTACTGAGAATGAAGGACTAACATGTCATCATCACCCGGCTATGCAGGAGTAGCGTTATCAAGTTCTTTGCCCTATTCTGCATCACCAGTCAAGCATTCCATACTCCATACCATCTATAGACAGTCTTCGAAGCCCTACTTCCGCCCCTCTCGGCCAACTATGACATGGTTGGCAAGTTACTGCACGGAGTATGAATCTTTCAGTGTCAACGACTAGGGGTTTGGGCAGCCCCAATTGTTAAGTATCAGTGTGATCTGTCCTAACTGTCTAATGTGCGCCATGCAAGCCCTCTGAAAGCAAACTGCAGGGTACTCCGTAGAAGACGATGCTTTTCCTCACGAGACCAGTGGACTGGACGGTTATAGTGCTTATCGCTCTACCCATGTTGAAACGTTTCGTTGGTCATTGCAATAAAGGGGTAATATGGCATGGAGTACTTCGTACTTCTACTCCTTATCATGGATAGACTCTTGGACGGTGACGAGTCGGACCACACTTCAAGAGCTTCATGAGCTGAGGTTAGGAAAGGAAAAGGGGCCAAAAAATGAGGGTTGCCGCTT